AGCAGTCAAACTCTGTAAAATATTTAAAGAGATTTACTCTGAGCCACATATGAGTGATCAGTGGCCTGTGACGCAGCCCTCAGGAAATCCTGAGGACGTGTGCCCAAGGTGGTTGGGGCACAGCCTAGTTTTGTATGTTTTAGGGAGACATGAGACATAAGATATACATTGGTTCGATCCAGAAAGGCATGACAGGCTCAAAGTCAGGGCTTCCAGGTTATAGGTAGTTAAAAGATAAAAGTTTACGTTCTTTTGGGTCTTTTATCAGCCTTTCACTGAATACATAGTTTACATGTGAGGGGGATAGAGGAATAATCCCTTATGCCTTAGTCTGACTTAGTGAACCTGCCTTTTTACATAAACAGTACTGCAGAGGAAACAATCATATATGCATTTGTCTCAGGTGAGCAGAGGGATGACTGAGTTCTGTCTGTTATTTGTCCCACATCTGTGACAAGATGCTGTCAATTTACATGGTCAGGGTGAAATTCACCAGAACTGCTTTAGGGTCAAGATCTTGAGGTCTACAGAGAATTTCCTTGTGGGCAAATTGTAATGGAAGTATGTAGCTTTATTTATTTATTTATCTTTAATCCTTATAGCTATCTTATTTCGGAATAAAATGGGAGACAGGCTTACCTGATGCAGTTCCCACTTTGACTTTTGTCTTTGGCTTAGTGATTTTGGGGTCTTGAGACTTATTTTCCTTTCACACCAGTTTACTTCCCCTAATTTTATTTTCTTCTGACACTGTGATACATTTACTAAAACTATGAAACCAGCATTGGTAAATTACTGTTAGTTAAACTCCAGTCTTTATGTGGTTTTCACCAGTTTTTCGATTAATGCCCTTTTCTGTCCCAAGCTCTAACTAGATTATATTAGTTGTCATTCTTTCTTTTCTTTTTTTTTTTTTTGTAATACTTTATTCTGGATATGTGTCCTTTCTAGGATATATATGTATTATATGTATTGCATTTCTCTATTTTTCAAACTGTAGCTTGCCTTTTCACTCTTTTAATGGTGTTTTTACATGAATGGAGATTCTCTAATTTTTTTTTTTTCTTTTTGAGACAGGATCTCACTCTGTTGTCCAGGCTGAGTGCAGTGGCAGAATCACAGCTCAGTGCAACCTGGACCTCCCAAGGCTCAGGTGATCCTCCTGCCTCAGCCCCCAAGTAGCTGGGACCTACAGGGGAGCACCATTATGCTCAGCTTTTTTTTGTATTATTATTATTTTTTTTTGTAAACATTGATGAAAAAGAGAAATTTCACTGGTTGTGTTTGAAGGGGGACTAGTTTACCCAAATTAAGTATATTGGGATAGCAACAATGGTAAAGACTTCAAACAGGGTAAATATCCCACAGGGTAAACTGGCTCCTAACAAAGATCAGTTTCAACTTATATTTTGTTTCCTCAGAGTCATTCCTTGACTACCTAATCATACCATCTATCCTCACTCAAGTTATTCAGTAGCCTGACAGTCTTTCTCACTTTGGATTTATATATTCATTAATTTGTCAGTTTTACTTATCTCTATTGGACTGTAGCTCCATAAGGGTCATCTATTTTATTCCCAGCACCAATCTGCCACAGTGCCTGGCATTCAGGAGGCACATACAGCTAGTGCTCGACTTACAACCACGATTGGTACCAGCAGACTGGTCGTAACACGGTTTGGTTGTAAGTTGAGTAGGCTATATGTACAGTTGAAATGGTGCACGCGGAGATGGTAGTGCTGCCAGAAGCTGGTACGCACTGTCGTATGCCCAGCTGGGCAACGTTTGCGCTGCCAGAGGCGGAGCAGTCGTGGCTAGCGATTGTGATCGTAAAGTCGAATGGTCGTAAGTTGCATAGGTCGTAAGTCGATCAATACCTGTATAACATACTGAGTAATCAGTGGAAAAACAAACGCTACCAAACTCCATCAGATATTCAACAAACACCTGTCTGGAGGCCAGTGCCCTGGGTCTTGTTTTTCCCTTGAGATAGAATGTGCCCTGGGTCATGTTTTTCCCTTGAGATAGAATG